GCCGCCCCCGCCGAGAACGAGCATTCGCCGAGACAGAGGCCCCCGGAGATGAGAATGATAAAATGTGTCACGGCTGATTTCCAGCCGGCGCGGACTGCCTAGTAACCGCTCGTAATCGTAATTCCGCGGTTCCACGGCAGGGGGGAGGGCGGCGGGGGGAGCAAATATTTCACGGCGATGCAAAAGGCGCGCGTCTGAGATTCGAGTCTGACGCTCGCTCGCCGAGCCGAGCCGTCGACATTGTGCCGGATTACGCTTCCTCGTTCACGCTTTCACGCGAGCTACCTTATTTGTTCATATTTAACTAAGCTCAATTAATTAGCCGGATAAAAGGCTAGCTGCCGGCTAACGCGCGAAGTGTGTAGGACCAACCCAGAGAGGAAGATAACGAACGGGGGGGGAGACACACTTGCCTATATATACCCGAAGCCGGGCGAAGCAACTACGCGAACTACGCTGGCGCACGCATAACATTAGGCGATTATTCAAACGAAGCCGCGCGGCATGTGCGGCTATCTACTCTACGCGCGCTCCGCATAATTACCGAGCTAGTTTTTTAGTCAAGGGCATGATTAACGCACGGGCCTTCTACATCTTGATCTGAAATTAGCGAACGAGGAAGTATGATCTGTGCGATTTCCACGTCGGGTACAAATGGCTGACGGTGTCGTCCGCTGAAAAATGTGCCTGGCGCACGCAATCCTTTAATTATTTTAACTATCTCGGATCTAGATGCCGAATATGTTAGGGTTACATCTAAATTTGGAATGTGTATCTCACGCGTGCGATTTCTTTTATAAATTCTAACACACACACACACATCGGGAGACTTCAACTTGATATCTCATTTTCCGAGTTTTCATTTACACTTTGTGACGCAGAGACCGCTATAATAAAATGTGTATCAGTTACGACCGTGTATTATCGGCTGAGGAGACGCTGAATATTCATTTTACAAGCAAAAGAATGAAAGAATGAGAGAAAGAGAGAGAGAGAGAGAGAGCGAGAGAGAGAGAGAGAGAGGGAGAGAGGGGGGAAGAGAAATCTCTGATATTCTTGGATATAATAGTAGCTTGTGCTAATTGGGATCACGTTAAACGGCGGAGATGAATCCTTTTCTTTTATGCATCGGCTCGCCGATCTCACAGTCTCGTTTGCGTAAAATATTCCTTCTGTTTCCGACGTTATTGACTGCGCACCGTAATGCAAATCGCAAATCATGATCGATCGCGCGAAAGCGTGCGGAATTCGAGACGAACCTCGTGTTACTTAAAGCCCACTCGACCGTGTCCTCCTGCGCGAAGTGTCCCATCATTTCTTTCTCCGGTGAATCGATAAACGCATTAGCGGCCGTAATATTGGGAAGAAATGAACACTTTCAGGACACTGTCGTCGTCGTAGTCGTCGTCGTCGTCGTCGTCGTCGTCGTCGTCGTCGGGTAATTGTCGAGAGATAACGATATTATCATGCAGATACGCTATTGTATAGACCGCGGAATGAAAGAAATAATGTGCTGAAAGAAGTGATTGTGTCAATCTGATAAATATTGCGTGTCACTTCTCCAAACTCATAAATATGTATCAGTTCGCGTTGCAACGTTCGCCCCGTTGAACTGCGTTACTATATGGAAAATATGTAACGCCATCGATCGCATTACATACGTATGCGCGTGTGTACAAACGCTAATGAGCCGCATTTCGCCGGGGCAGAAAATTGGCGGGGTGCAACGATAATGAATCTTGCAAGCACGGCGACGGCGACGGCGACGGCGCGTCGCTCGTCATCTTTAAACAACGGGCCGGCAAAGGAGAAAATTGAAACGTAATTGCGATGCCTGGCACTCTGACGATGACTTCTGCGCGGCTAATGGGTCAAGTTCTCGCTGACGCATTGGGGCGGAAACACGTGAGTGTTAAGTACGTGTCAACGACAATCACCGCCGACAGCGTGCCGCACATTTCCGATTAGAATCCGACGAATATTCATATGCGATAGATTCTCACTTCTGCAAATTGCAATGTTTGAGAAATGTGAAAACGCAGTATCTATTATTATCGTTACATTGTTTTCAAATTTATATTCGTATGACGTTGCAATTCGAGAAGTCTTATGTACGCAGTTCTCGTTCAAACGCGCGTTAATATGGCCGCGCTTCAAGGAACGTTTTCACGCGATAATATAACGCGAATTTCTCACGAATGCTCGAATCGAAGAGATACAAAAAACATACAAAATCGCAACGCTTATCGTTATTGCTCATTTCGTCGTAGCTCGCTCGCCAGCTAGAAATTAACCAAGTATATGCGTGCCGTTATCGCATTATACGAAGGCGCAAGAATTATTCATCGCTCACGTATGTGAAATATTTTAGGCTTGTAATGCGGTTCACCCGACGATCTTCTCACGAATAAGTGTACGACGAAAATGACGCGTTTTAGCGTTACGGGTAGAGCTTGCCGAATCAGGGTGCTTGATTAATTGATGATCTGCCGATCAGCCACGCGTAAAGGCCTTCACAGGCTTGAACGAATCGCGAACGGATATTTACCGCTCGCTTCCTCCGATATGATATTAACGTCATCGAGTCCGCAGCGTCGAGTCGTGGTTATATTATCGTACGATTGACATCGGAATATCATTAACCCATTACTTCCCAAGCGAACATTTTATAGTCGATTGGTTTTTGGCTCAAAAAAGTGATAAAATCACATGAAAACTAATAACAGAATATGCTTTCCCACGTAAAAAAAACCTTTCAGAATCTGGAGTCATAATTTTCAAATTAGCAAATTATAATTCAATATGGCGGCTCAAAATTGACAAAAATTTTTTCATCGACTATGAGCTTTTTACTGTGGGAAACTTTGAAAAATTTTGTCCAGAGCTGTCAAGGACAATTGAATTGACAGAGTTTGGCTACTCGAAGGATAAACAATGATTATTGATTTTATTTTTCAACTGATTCAAGATGGCGGATGCAATATAGCGTCCGGGTGTCAGTAATTCTCCACAGATTTGTAAATCAGAAGGGGAGTGTAGAAAACGTACAAATATTTTTTTTCAATATTTTCCAGAAAAGCATATGCAACGAATGTTTCGAAAACTTCCATAACTCATTATAAGTTTTGAGATATATTTTCTCAAGTGTTCCAACATTCACCTGAATCATGGACTCGGCGACCTCAAAAACATATGAAATAAGTATCCACACACATAGTTCGCAATAAAGTATGATTCTCGTGGCATTCGGATGCCATTTTGCAAAATTGAAAACGGATCTAAGATTCGTGTTCAGCGACGTCAAAAACATAAGAAATGACTATTCACACACATAAATCGCAATGAAGTATGACTTTCGCGTATTTGGACACCATATTGCATTCGCCATCTTGAATCGGTTGAAAAATACAATCAATAATCGTTGTTTATCCTTCGAGTAGCCAAACTATGTCAATTCAATTGTCCCTGATAGCTCTGGACAAAATTTTTCGAAGTTCTCTACAGTAAAAAGCTCATAGTCGATGAAAAATTTTTTGTCAACTTTGAGCCGCCATATTTAATTATCAGTTGATAATTCCAAAATTATCCAGGTTCTGAAAGATCAGGTTTTTTTACGTGGGAACGCATATTCTGTTATTAGTTTTCATGTGATTTTATTACTTTTCTGAGCCAAAAACCAGTCGACTATAAAATGTCCGCTTGGGAAGTAATGGGTTAAGCGAATACGCGAAGCATGACTAGGAGAAATTAATTTCTATTCTCTCTTTTATTTTTAAAGTCTTAATATTAATATATCGATATTAAGATATAAGTCTTAATATATCACATTCACCTGAATCATGGACTCGGCGACTTCAAAAACATATGAAATAAATATCCACACACATAGTTCGTGCGCGAAACGTGAAGAACGAGACCTGACGTGGCAGTTCAGTCGAGTCGTTCGCATAATTGTATTCTTATGTACAATTTCCGTTATGTTCAGGAAATTAACATTATACTCGCAGTCGAAGGCTAAAAGCGACATATACGGAGGTCACAATCCATTTGATCGAGTCGCCAGCCGCGTTTTAGCGCTGGCGAGTCGAAATGAAATATGCACGATGAACCTTCAAAATAAGAACATCGAAAGTTCATTGGCGAAGTTACACGCGAGCCATTAAACGACGATATAGAAATGCCTTCTATCGACAGCATTTTCCCTTCCTCTCTCTCTCTCTCTCTCTCTCTCTCTCTCTCTCTCTCTCTCCCTCTTGTTTTTATATACAAGTAGCATTGTAATCGTACTTAAGCCTGTACAATAGCCACTTTTTCTAGAAAGTAATCATAAATGTAAAGCACGAGTCGTCGTGCCACACGCGAAGGGTTTTTGCGTTTCATTTGCTTGACCTTGGCAATTCCATTTTAGCCACTCGCAATAAGATATCTATTATCGACATTTGGGGTAATCTTAATTCGTGTTTAATAGCAGTCAAGCCATGCCTGCTCGTTGCGCGATTCCATTTGCAGCGATAACGACTTCTCAATCGTTACTATTATATATGCCACGACAGAAAGTCTTGTTTCTCGCATTCGTGGTTTTCTGTACGTATATTAGTCAGTCTATTAGTCAGCTTGTTTATTCTGCTAAAAGAAAAAAGAAATAGGCAAAAGGAAGAAGAAAGGCTCGTCGACGTTAAACCGCCAAGATTCCTAATATCGAGGATCAAAAGACGAGAAAGGAAAAATTAGCTTCTTATAGAGAAAACACTTCGACGCGTTTCGTTTCCCTCGTTGAACATCGTTATCCTTCTGCGGTTAAATCATCGCAGCCCAATTTTGTGTGCTGTCGCTGACCTATTAAGCTAAAGTCTTCTAGTCTTTAATGAATTTCTTGTTGTAAAGAATCTCGTTGTCAAAACGCGTGCGTATTGCCAAGGGCTGCGAATGTCCAGCGAAATGCGTTAAACATAAGAAGACGCAAGAACGGTGTGTTTCTATCGAGGCTTGCGTGCTTCCAGGATGTCCGAGAGATGACTGAGTGCTGAGGAGGAGGAGAGGGCGCAGTGGCATCGAAGATTGCTGCCACTTCGGTCTGGTGGAATGGAGATGAACGGCACCGAAAGCAGCCTGAACGGCACCGAGGTCAATCGCACTTCCGCGCCTGTCTTCACTATTGGAACGGATTTTATCACGCAATGGTGAGCGAGAGGAAGTACGCAGTGTCTCCCGGTTCGAAATGCCGCGAACTTTGGGAGGCGAGGTCGCGGCTGAACGTGGATTGCACACGGAGAGAAGACTGATCGAATCAACGTGACAATGAACGACGAACCAGACCAGTGTTTTCTCGACGGAGGAAACCGAATTTCCGGTTGTTGGAGAGCGAATTCGATCCGGGAGAGAACCAGGAATTCTGTCATTCGAGAAATCTGTCGAGAACTAAGAAATTATGTTATCGCGGACTGAATGCAGCGGCCCTAACCGCTACTACAAGTTTCGTGATTGAAGAAATGATGTTCCAAGTGAAGCAACAATTCGGCTTTCAGAGTCGGAGATTTTCCTTCCTTCAGCGAAAACGCGTTTGGTTCGTTCGTCGTCGCGTTAATTCAACCAATCGGTTTTGGCCGATGCAACTTTCCGAAACCGTCGCTGACGTGCAGTCCCGCGATTGCTCCTCGGCAATTTTAGCATCCGGGCCGCGTCTGGTATCCCCTGATATCTACGTCGTATCTACGTGGCCGTGCTTATTGCTGTTTCCACTACGACGTTCCCGTGGTCGTTATACGCGATTAGAGCGGATCTCACGTCGGGAATCCCGTAAACATTTCTCGCTAGCGCGTCGTTCGTAACTTCGTAGCATCGTCGCAACTTTAGATCGCTCGAATTCAAAAGTTCCGCACGCGGTATCACCGGTGTTTAGAACAATCGCGTTTGTTAATCTCTCGAGGGAGCCATCAATCGCAATGAGGGCAGCGCTCGTGGAAGCCGTATGGCGTCATATCAACGAGGAATAACGTCGACGCGGAAACGAGATGAGCTCGCTAGCTCGAGCGTATCGGCCTTATATCTTACTTATCGAAGAATTTATTTCCGCAAAATGTCCTCGCGTGCGCGCACGCGTGGATACCTTACGAGACAGTTATGGCGTTTTCTCGTATCTCTCGCATGCCCCTCTTTCTCGTGGATTACAGCGTATTGCTCTCAAATTCTTCTCGCTGGCGTGCAGCACTTGCACTCTCTAGCGCCACTCGCCCCATCGATTTTCGGCATTCCCGAAGGATTCCGCGCTGTGGGAAATTCCAGGAAGGCAGATTGATTGGTAAACTCACGCTAATAAGATAATAGTGATTGACGTTGTTCGTTGACGCGCATACTATTCTACATTATGTTCTACGAGCGAGGCATCGTATTTTCTAAGTCGGTTAATTTTTAAACATACCCCCAAAACTTGTACATGATCATTTATACGAGAAGTTGGACGGATATGTTTATCTGTCGAATTATTTGGCTCTCAGTGGTCGTGAGTCACCTGTGTGACGAGGGATTCGCCTCGCCGGATCGCCGAGCGAACGCGGCTCATTCAAATATGCAGAAGAGAATCAAACGAAAGAGTCAATATCTCATCAAACATACCGTGAATTCGATTACGTTTTTACCTCTCTCTCTCTCTCTCTCTCTCTTTCTCTCTCTCTCTCTCTCTCTGTTGCGCGTCTCTCTGTTGCAAGTCTCCTATATTTCTGAGGTATTTATAGAAATTAATTTTGACGAATATCACGTCGCATTTGCGTCGCGTAATTCGTCAACGAACGCACCAAACAACGTCGGCGCGACGGAAACTCGCTCGCGAAAAGCACATTGTCCGCGCCGTGAGCGGCGATCATCCTCTTTAAAAAAGTGCGTGTCAATCGAAAGTCGAAATCTCTCGAATCTCTCGAAGTGTTGAAGCCTCTTTTCCGCGAGGCTGATTAGTCGTCACGACGACGTTGCATTGCAGCCGGCTTCGTGCCGTTTGCAATGCAACGTCGTTTCGCTGCCTTTGCGGCGAATGACAGCCGAGTGACAGTTTGTACGAAAGGAGTAATAACGGGGTTATATCAGGTTAACAATTTTATAACATAAAATAATAAGCTATAATTTATTTTTCTCGGATAATGGTAATAAATATAACGAGAGAGAGAGAGAGAGGGGGGGGAGGTGTGAGAGAGAGAGAGAGAGAGAGTGTGTGAAAAAGAGTGAGAGTGTAAGAGATAGAGAGTGAGAAAGTGAGAGAGAGTGTGAGAGAAAGAGAGAGAGTGTGTGAGAAAGAGAATGTGAGAGAGAGAGACAGCGTGTGAGAGATAGACAGTGTGTGTGTGTGTGTGTGTGTGTGTGTGTGTGTGTGTGTGTGAGAGAGAGAGAGAGAGAGAGAGAGAGAGAGAGAGAGAGAGAGAGAGAGAGAGAGAGAAGAGAGAGAGAGAGAGAGAGAGAGAGAGAGAGAGAGAGAGAGAGAGAGAGAGAGAGTGAGAGAGAAGGGGGTGAGTGAGAGAGAGGAGGGTGTAAGAGAGAGGAGAGTGTAAGATACACGAGAGTGTATGTGAGAGAGAGAGAGAGAGAGAGAGAGAGAGAGAGAGAGAGAGAGAGAGAGAGAGAGAGAGAGAGAGAGAGAGAGAGAGAGAGAGAGAGAGAGAGAGAGAGAGAGAGAGAGAGAGAGAGAGAGAGAGTGAGGGGGGGTGAGGGAGAGCGAGAGAGTGCGTAAGAGAATGGAAAGTGTGAGAGAGAGGGGAGGATGAGGGAGGGAGGGAGGGAGGGAGGGAGGGTGGGTGGGTGGGTGGGAGGGAGGGAGGGAGGGAGGGAGGGAGGGAGGGAGGGAGGGAGGGAGGGAGGGAGAGAGAGAGAGAGAGAGAGAGAGAGAGAGAGAGAGAGAGAGAGAGAGAGAGAGAGAGAGAGAGAGAGAGAGAGAGAGAGAGAGAGAGAGAGAGAGAGAGAGAATGATTGAAAGGGAGTGAGAGGGAGGATTTGGAGAGTGTGGGGGGAAGAGGGGAAGACAGAGAGCTTAAGATGATCTTGAATAGAATGTTAAACGTCGAAATTTTCACTGGTTACACGATTACGCATTACTATGCAGAAAATATGTGTCATGAAATTTCAAACTGTATGCTCCTAATACATCGTATGTTGGAGTCGGATATTATTGTTGCTTTCAAATCACACTATTGTGCAAGCCGTAAATTTAGATTACCTAACGGTTCAAGTGTAACAATATTACAAAATTTGCAATTTCTACGAACAACATTTTTAAACAGTTATATTACGAAATTTAAACATTTGACAATGCAATAAGAAAAAAGTTGAAGAAATATTCCATCGGCATAATCTAGTACAGTTTCTAAAATCTCAGCATAATTAGCATAATTAAGGAAAATACAGAATTCGAAAAGTGAAGGACAAGTTTACGCAGATCGCAGATACAGTACGTTTCGTTTACAAACGTTTAAGAAATTTCCGCTTTTCTTATACAGGGTGATTCGAAACAATCTGTTGTCCTTAATATACCATATTCTTGAACAAATTCTAAGACTATTTTTCCTCTTGTAAAATATTATCCGACGCTTAGTTACTGAGTTATTAAGATAAATAGTTCGTCTATTACGGCCCGTGTACAGAAAGCAGGTAGGAACGGAACAATTAATATCCTGCTAATTTATAATACTATATTTGCCATTACACCCGCGATTGTTAAAATTTTCAAGTTTCAAAAATAATATGGATGAACGTTATCACATGCATCGATTAGCACGTCGCCGTCGCACCAAACATCCAATATCAACGCTTACACGGTGCGCGCCCCAACGAACAATTGTTCCATACCTGCCTGCCTTCTGTACCCGACCCGACGAATAGACGAACCATTTATCTTAATAACTCAGTGACTGAGCATCGGATAATATTTTGCAAGAGGAAAAGCAGTCTTAGAATTTTCTCAAGAATATGACATATTAAGGACAACTGATTGTTTCGAATCATCCTGTATACGTATTCAAACGTATTCTGAAACGTAATGAAAGCTACGTATTCAAATGTATTCTGAAACGTAATGAAAGCTACGTATTCAAACGTATTCTGAAACGTAATGAAAGCTACACCATTTCTAAATTGATCTGAAACAAAATTTGTGCGTAATACGTGATGTTTGTTTCGGTGTGACGCGTTTTTGTCAAATTTAGGTAAATTGCATATCTGGCTAGTGCTTGTTGTACTACTATAATACTATTTATATCTAATCTGTCATTAATAAATACGAAATATCAAGAGAAAAGTGGAAAAAGTGGATCAAATGACAGTAAGCCAATAATTATTCAGTTTATATTTTTATTTATGCCCAACACGCCATTAAAAGAATATAAAAATCTGAGGAATATAATTTCTTCCTTATATTCAGTAAACAGCTATTCCTCAATAAGAAGCAGTTTGTTCAATGTGTTCAAATAAATCGTAGATCGTGGACAAAACGTATTTAACATACAAGAGTCCTGTTCAACTTATGGGCGATCAGTTAGATTACGAATATATTTTACCTTCACCATTCGGAGGCGGTACAGCATCCCACTTGTAATGGCGTTCGGCCATTTTATTCTTAATTGCGACAGACTTCACGAGCTCCGGAGACGGTTCTTGTAGATCGTATGCCCAACCAATTTTCGCAAAGAATTCGATAAACATAGCCGTAAAGTTGTATGTGTGTATACCGAATTCAGATGCTTTGTAGTCCCATGGGAACACGTGATGATAATTATGTGAACCCTCGCCGAAAGATGCAAATGAGACCATCATGTTATTCGTCGGTTTAATATGCCTATCGTTCAAATAAATCGCAACTGTGATTTTTTAAGCTTCATTAAATTATTAGCAAGGTTTATTTTACTAATTGTCAAATATTAGTATTAATATAATTATGATTTATAACAAATATTAGTATTAATATAATTATGATTTATTAAACGTACCGTATGTACGTGATTAACTTAAAATAACAACCTAGAATAAACTTAAAATGAACAAGTGAACAAAGATCTTACATGTCGTACGGTCTGCTACCCCATATGTGAGCGAAACTATTGACACTCCACACACTGTGCCACTCGCATATATGACGACAGAAATGCAATTTCATGGACATTGTCCATGCTTCGTTCCACCCGTAAACGGGCACCATAATCGGTATCATATGGGCAAAAATAAAACTCAGTATCCAAAAATGCCTGTGGAAACAAATGAAATTACAATATTAAAGATAATTTTTCATTGATATCGAATTGATACTCAGCTGGACAGGTTCTGTATCCAAGAAGTAAACCGAGAGAAATACGATAAAATTCAATGGATTTGTATTCATTCTTTTTTACCCATCAGGTACTAGATTATAACAGGTTATATGTTATGCAAACGGACGAGAACTCACTTATCAGCGAACATAACGAGAGAATCCGCCTTAATGTCGCTTATATCGATTTGTTGACCTTTTTCGATAACCTCTGGATGCTTTTTTACCATCAACCACCCGACATGAGAGAAGAAGAATCCCCGATTGCTGTTGTGTGGATCTGCATTTGTATCCGTGAATTTGTGATGTGTCCGATGATCTCGGACCCAACTGCGGATAGAGATCTAAGCAAGAAAACTATCGTAAGAAAAATATTATCTTGTTTTATTTCTATTAGGTCTACTTTTCCCTCTTTCACTTTTTCAGCGCTAAATTTAGGCAGCTGTATGTTTACCTGGCCAGCTGTAAGGTAGCAAAAGACAAGTATGATTCTAAGTGGCAATTTTGCTTTGAAAGTTCGATGTGTCCAGTAACGATGAACACCAGCGGTGAAACCCATCCCTTGAATTGTGTAAATCAAGATATCTTGAAGTAAAATACATCAAATGTATTAATTATCATTAATTTTATGCAATGAAATTCTACGCAATGTAGTCAACAATCTATCTAGCTATTGTCTCACACATAACGATCGAAGCGTCTCATCTCCTAAATTATACTTACACCAAAAGACTGTCCTGATATCCATTGTAAAGTTGATAGTGAGGAGACAGTACAATGCACATAAGTGTACAAAACTTATTGTTGCAACATTGCGCCACTTCACATTTGGTAGATAATTTATCCATTCTTCAATCGCTAAGTGCAAACTATGTCTTCTGTACATAACATGTTTATTGTCTATTTCTGACGTAGCCGAAGGAGCTTTCTCTTGTATTCCAACATTGGCTTTCAAAGTGTTAGATGTCATCGTAAGCTCGTCTTGCCGTCTTTGCTGGGATGCGCCACTATCGTTTCCTGCTTAATAATCGATGGATCTATCCGCTTCATAACAGAAGTTGCATGTTGGTGATTTTGTTTCCTATGTTTTATTATTTATAGAATTTATTTCAAGCTTATATTGATATTCAAGCTTATAATGACCGAAAATCGGTAACATTTTTTCTACACATTCACTTACAGTATATTTTATTAATAACGTTGCATATTCCTTGGTAATGATGCCAAAGACGGAATTACATTTTTTAAACAGATTATGCTAAATTTAACTACCTCATAACATTAAATTAAAAGAAATTGATGGATAACACGTAATAAACATATGATCGATCTTAGTCATCAATTAGTGCGTCAAATAATTATTGTTAGAATAGATGAACCTATTACATCATCATATATTTTTTAATACATCGCGTTATCATGTCGCACGTATTATTATTCTATCGTATAGTTAATATTATTAATAGTTAATAGTTAATATTATTATCAGTTGCAATAATATTATCAAATATTGTCGTGTAGAAAATTCTTGATACCTCCCTGCACCGTTTATTTTTCGAGAATTAATTTCAGAAGAAAATTGTCGCCACTGTAAACTTTTAATATTTCATATTTATTACTTGTAATATTAGATTTTGTAGTTGAAAAAATGTGCAAACAGATATAATGACCTAAGAGCCGATAGCGAGTGTTCTTGAAAATAAATAGCAAATTTCTCATTCTTAGAAGTGGAATCGAGTCGTTCCCGTCTCTATCGTAACGTACTTACTATCGTTATTCGTATCGTTACATGTGTATCTCTTATTGCTTGTGTGGTGCTCCTGAAGTGTTGAAAGGAAGTATGTTGAAAGACCAACTGCGGTCGTGCGACTAGATGCGATAGAATATATACTGCATCAAGAGGCACGGTAGTGCCTCGCGCTAAGGTCAAGCACAACGAAGTTGCGCCCAAACGGCGCGAGGCAACCATGCCTATTATACGTGAAACTGCAAGTTGAAACGAGGTGAGATATTCATATTTCAGCAATGGCTGAACCGATCAACGTTTTTTAGTCCCAATCGATTCAGCCTTAAAAAATAGGAAGAAAAGTGTCCTAGTGTTTTTTGTGTACGTTGTCTCCAAGTATATATATTTTAAGACAAAATCCAAATTACGGAAAATTACGATTCAGTAAAAAAGTAAGATAAGAAAGAAACGCTAGACCGCCGAGGAGAGGGAGAGTGAGGGAGAGAGTGTGAGAGAGAGGGTGAGAGAGAGAGAGAGAGAGAGAGAGAGAGAGAGAGAGAGAGAGAGAGAGAGAGAGAGAGAGAGAGAGAGGGAGGGAGACTGAGAAAGACAGAGAGGGAAAAGAGAGAGAGTGAGGGAGGAAGAGGTATAGCTTAAGATGGGCTTGAATAGAAATGTTGAACGTCGAAATTTTCATTGGTTATACGGTTACGCGTTACTATCCAGAAAATGTGTCATGGAATTTTAAACTGTATGCGCCTAATACATCGTATGTTGGAGTCGGATATTATCGAACTTATATTATACTCCAGGGATTGTTTTTGATTTATAATATTTATTCTGAACTTTAATATGAATAAGCTAAAATGGCGCGCGCGTAGCGCGCGCTTGTAGTGTTCTGGTAATGTTAAATTGAACGTTGCGCGATGGATTGCAGGATTAAATCAATTCCGCCACGTTCGCACCGCCGGCGAAACACTCACTCCCTCTCTCTCTCTCTCTCTCTCTCATGCGTAACGTATCTGCACTTTGTCACCATAATCAAGATCCGCGATGACAATGATAACGCGCGCGGCGCGACGAAAATGCGCGCGGCTGTCCGACTAGTTTCGCGAGAATGTACTCACAGTTCGCGCGAGCACCGAGGGAATGAGCTCCGCCGTGGTGAGCTCGTCTAGATAAGCGATTCGTCATTTGACGGAATGGCCCTCTTGAATTTCGAGCGGCTCCGCCAACTTGTCGTTACCTCTGGGACTGCTCATTATCGGGGAGTAATAACATCACGTTGCGCGTCTTATACAACCAACACCGCCCGTTTGTGTTTCTCAGCTCGCCGGGAATATCAAGGCTAAAGGAAATGAACTTTTACCGGGGCAAAATTGAAGTAGGAAAAAAAGAAAATATTCGCCCGAGAAGAGAGAGCCACCCCCTCTCTCTCTCTCTCTCTCTCTCTCTCTCTCTCTCTCTTTCTCTCTCTCTTCCTCGGCAACGCTCTCATTCGGCCTTTCTCTCCTCCTTTTCTTTCTCTTTAACTCTCTCTCTCTCTCTCTTTCTCTCTCTCTCTCTCTCTCTCTCTCTCTCTCTCTCTCTCTCTCTCTCTCTCTCCGTGCGCCTTAATTTCGCCGAATAATAAAATGTACGGTCGCCGTCACTTCTTCGAGTTCCTGCGATTATTTCTCTTTTATCACCGAGATCGCGCGCAATGTAATTCGTTCGGTCTGCTTAGCATTTCCGAGATAATCGGCCGGTGCCGCTTAAGAAGTCAAAGGCCTCGGGGGGCTTCGCTTTGGTTTCAACGGAACCGACCGAAGATCTACCTCCTACCCTTCCCTCCGTATCGCGATGCGGAAAAGTAGTCCAGGTGGGAATTAGTTATTTCATGCGCGCACTTCACCTCGGGATCACATGACAAGTGTGACTTGCGTATTCGATATTGTGCAGAAATAGAAACGGGAAATACGGGCGCAAGTGACCCCCCACTTCACGGCCGCTTCGACGAGAAAGTTCGCCGCGCAAGTGCAAGTTATAAATATTGTATGACGCCAGTTATAAATACTGAATTACGGATTCTGCTCTCTTGCTCTCTCTCTCTCTCTCTCTCTCTCTCTCGCTCTCTCGCTCTCTCGCTCTCTCGCTCTCTCGCTCTCTCGCTCTCTCGCTCTCTCGCTCTCTCGCTCTCTCGCTCTCTCGCTCTCTCGCTCTCTCGCTCTCTCGCTCTCTCGCTCTCTCGCTCTCTCTCTTTCTCTCTCTGGAAATGATTCAACCCGGGATATATTATATCGGCCGCGCTGTTTATTGACAGTTAGGTTCGTTTGCGTTCGCAGTACATTTATCGCGATGACATTTCGCAGGCAAACAATACCTTACGCGGCCGTTATGTAATCGGCTGCTCCAACTGTAAATCACATTTACACAATCCGTGCGCCCTGTCGTATCGCGCGCGCGTTTGTGCGATGCTTTCTTTCGTCCGAGACCGCTCGCAATATCCGCGCGAGGTACACACGACGGCGAGGATATCCGGCGAGGATAAAGCTCGCGGCTCGTGGATACCAAATGGTATCCTTGACCCAGCGGGGGACACGTTAATAATCCGGCGGTCCGGTGCCGGGGGTGAGACACGCGGTCGCGTTGGCGGCGGTGATGGTTGATGGGCTTTCTGGCAGGCCGAATACGGCTGGCGGTTATTTAACGAGAGAAGGAAAAAGGCCGGTGTGTCGTGCAACGGGACGGAATCACGCGAGAGCCGCATCGAACGCGGGACTGTCGGTGCGCACGCGATTGAGATGAAAATTTCGAGTGTTGAGCGTGAGTCAACAACGCTGAGCGCCCTCCGCAAAAGTCGCCCGCGATGGAACGTATCGATATGTGTGCCGCGACGCGATTGCATATTATAAGCGCGAGGCTTATTGTTAGGATCGCACACACGCACGCACGCACACACGCAGGCACGCGTGCGGATGCGCGTGTGTGGTCGTCCGATGAGAAGCGACGCATC